AAGGAGTTATTTTAATCCAGGCTCCAACCAGAAAAGGCACAGATTTGATTATTTTTTTTTCTGTCATTTCTGTTTAAAAATTACATCAACCATTTAAAAACACTCTCTGCCCAGAGCTGGAGTAGAGGATCTTTCCTGTCACCAAAAATGCTTAAATCCTTAATCTGATGCAAAATTGTTCTTATTATGTGTTTTAGAAGTGGTAGCTACAACATTGGTTGGTGCATCCTTAGAGAACATTTTTGTCTGGACAGTTTTGCAGCATATGAAACTGCAGTTTTTATCTCTTCACATCTGTAGTGTCCTTAAAGTACTGTTTGTTAGGATTTAACAGCACTTTAAGTGAGCTAATTAGTAAGCATTCAGAGGGTTCTAAAGGCCTCTAGAAGTTTTTGCTGGTTTTGCCGTTCAACTTTAGTCTCAGGTCCTGCATTTACCCCAGGTCCATAAGCTGTGTGCTTGGTTATTTTCACATCCCAGCTGTCATTCAATGCTACAGCTGTCACAAAACACAACCTGCAAAGTAGCATCTGTGTAAAGGATGCTCCTATAGTTTAAAGCTCTTCGCTGCATTTTAAGCTGATTTTATGATGCAAGTCATGCCCTTAGTGATGGGTCTCAAAAGGCTATCTTCCTTCTGAGTACTAATGTACAGTTTATTGCACTTTTCTATATGGTTCCAGCACTTTGTTGTCGCTGCTGTTGTAAATCATTATTTATTAGTCTCAGTGTCCTTGCTGTTTATTCAGTTCTTTGGAAAAATGTACTTGAAAAATTTCTCGCTTGCTGACATTCATCTATCACTGTTATAGATCTGGCAGTTTCCTGGTGAGTTAAATCTTTACAATCCTAAGAAGCCAAGTGCTGTACTTCGACACTAATTTAAGCTTCCCTGCTAAGTCCCATCAGTTCTTTGTGAGCCTGGCAGTCTGTGTGGCTCACAAAGCCACGGGGCCCTCCTGCTTACAGTAAAGATCCAATGTGATCTTCCAGGCTGTAGCACTGCAGCCCTCTTAATTTTCCATGAGCGAGGTTTAAAAGACTAATTTTGGGCTCTGGACTGCAACATAGATAGATAAGTTGGAGCATGTCTGTAAGATCCCTTGGATACTCTTAATGCCATGTTATTTTTTGTAGAGGTGAGTGTCCCAGCACTTGTTTATTTTAGTGCACCTTCATCGAAAATTGTGTTTATGAACATATATTTACCAGGGCTGTGAGGTGGCAGTTGAAGGCAAGCTTTCTCCACCATGCTTCTGCATGCTCTTGAAGCAGTCTCCTCCATTCAGTCAGACTAATGTTCACAGTGGATCTGAGATAGGTGTATATGTGTGCAGCGGTTACTAGAGAGGACTCCCTAGAAAACGAGATTTTTGAGAAATCAATTACACAAAGGAATGGAGTCAGGGCCAGATGGCAGGGATGCTTCATTCCAACCTGGGAGGTACTCACGGGATGGCCGCACGCTCCTTCCCACAGGGCTGGGTAATCAGATAAATCAATTAGCAGATGTCAGGGCAGTTAATGCAGCAAGCAATGCTAGCATAGGTGTGTTACTGTGATTACAGTAAAGGGGGCTGCTTTTCTTTTCCCTGGTGGGTAACCAGCAACTGGATCCACTTTTCTAGAGCTGGCAGGGAGAGGACTCTGCTTTTCCCGAGAGTCTACTTTCTGGGTGTTGTCACCAGGTTCAGATGTCTGTCCTCGCTGACCTGGAGGTGCTTAGGGAGAGGGACCTTTGTGAACTAGGATGTGGACTAGGACCTTGTGCTGTGAGCAAATCCCGTCAGTGTGGTGGGCTCTTTTTAGAATGATCTTTGTCAGTGACAGTTCAGCCCCGTCTCCTGGGTGGATTTTGGACCATGCTGTAGCTGTGTCACCAGCCCTGTCTCTGACTCTGTCTCCTTTTGCTCCTGATGGCAACCCCTAAACGGGCCCTGTGCCTGGTCCATCCCTTTGCCATGCAGGGGGCGATCCCAGCACCCTGTTACCAGCCCCCAGCTATGCTCACCTGGCTCAAACCCTGTGGGATGGTGCCCTGCATGGAGTGGCCCTGTTTGCTCTTACTTGGAGCTTAAAAAGATGGAGAACCCTTTCTGGGTTCCCCTTCTGTTTTGTTTCTCAATGTCCTTTACCAGGCTGCAGAGAGAAGCACTAGGAGAGGCTTTCAGCTATAAATTCTGCATTTGTGGCTTTCTTTTAACTTTGCCATGCTTAGAAGTTGTATTCTTGGACTGTGTCAATACCTGTGTGTGCACCTGTTTTCTGAGAACACCTCTAAATCCTCTGCCAGGAAGGCAATTATAATAAAAAGTGATTGGAGAAAAGGAAAATAGAAATATCAGCTTGGGCAGAGCTATAAAGGGGAGGGAAAACAGCAGAAATGCAGGAACTGAACCTTGAATGCAGACTTTAACCTGCTCTCATTATAAGAACTCTGACCTGTATTGTATATTTTATTTGATTGTTTTTCCTGGTGGGTTAATTTTTTAACAGCTTTCTGAGCACAGAGTTGGTTGGCTGAGAGTTGCAACCACAGCAATGAAACCTGTGCTGTTCCTCAGAGCATTTTTTCACTATATGGGCTTCTTATTCATTCTTACAGTAAACATCTCACAGACCCTGACAAACTTGACTTCACAGCACCTGAGGTTTCTAGCTGTCCATTGAGAAGCCTAGCAAACAGACCTGATCTCAGATGGTATCTCTGTTCTGCTCTCTTGTATGTGACGAGGAGAAATGAGGCACAGCTTGCATGACTTGACATAAACAGCAGACCTAAGAACTGAAGCTAGCTCCTTAGTCCGACACTGTACTCTTGAGATTCCCTATATAGGGAGTTGGACTTGATGATCCTTAGGGATCTCTTCCAGCTCAAGATATTCTAAGATTCTATTCTGTGGCTAATTCTTACTAGAGGATGGCTTGTACCCTTCAGAATGTGAAGACTACAGTCTGCTTTTGCAGCTGGTCACATACTGTGCCAGGACCTTCTTGTGTTGTGCTCTGGGGTGCAGCGGGAGTAGAAGGAAGTCCTGCTGAGGTGCTCCCCTGTGTTGGTTGCACAGAAAGGATCGACGCCAGTAAAACACCACTGTGATCACAAAGCCAAGCCTCAGATGCTAGAAAATGTTGTGCGTTTAAGTGTTAGTCTTGCCTTTTATCCATGGCTCTGCATCTAGCTGATCTTTTGCTTGTCTACCCTGCTGTCTAGTTGTGCCTGTGCTCCTGCCCTTAGCCTTCCTTTTTTGGCTAGTTTTTAAATTTCTTCTTTTTCTGGTGTTTGTCTGCAGAGTCATTCACAACCCCACTGACCACCTCCTGCCTCCAGGCTCTTTGCTGATGAATCCCATCTTTTGCCCTGTTCCACCTGCCCTTCCACGACAGGCTCTCTGATCCTCTCTGCTTTCGCATGAGTGCATCTCTTTTGCCCTCTGCTTTTCAATCTGGCAGCTTGCTCTTACTTGGTGCTGTTGAGAAAACAGACTATCTGTCACCAGCACTGGGATCCAGTGATCCCAGAGCTGCAACAGAAAGGAAAAAAAAAAAAGTCTGGAAATTTGGTTGCTAAAATGTAAGTAATTTCTTCTAGTCAGCAGAACAAACTGTGTCTGTATGTGTGTCCCTTTGCACTCCCCTTCCTCCTTCATAGCCTTACCGTTTCCCCAATTTCAGAAATGTTTTCACAGAGGTTATTTCTGACTATATTGCTTCAAACTGTGGGAGTAGTTTGTGAGTGAGACCATCACCAAACTGGTGGAAAAAACCCAAAGTATTTCTTTCATGCTTCAGTTTTGAAAGCTGCTCAACTGTTTCGGCAGATGCTGAGCAGATACCTAGGATGGAAATGGTTGGGTTTTTAATTCATCACCATTGGCAATGTCCTAAGCTCCTGAAGGGCTTGCAGTGGAAAAATTATAGCAGACCAGACAGCCAGGTGAATGTACAGAGAGCCAGCCTTGGATAGAACCAGTTCAAGCAGACACTGACAGACCTCTGCTACTAGGGACTTCCCCCCAAATTACTGTAGGAACTGGAAAGGTTTTAGCATTGGTACACTCCACATGATGTGCAAGTTGCAGAGCCCACACCTGGCTGCTAACCGTTGATCTCCTCGGCCCTGAGCTGTGGGTGTCCCTGGCCTAAAGGATGCTTGGCAGCACCCAGGCAATGCTGGTGCCAGCAGCGCTTCCTGAGTTTGGGGGCACAAGGTGGGCAGCCTGGGGAGGCAGAGGGATGGTGTGGGAGGTGGGAAATGGAGGTTATCAGATTTGGAAAGGTTCCTGAGAGCTGATCTGATTGTGGGAGACCTGGCTGTGACGAAGCCAAGCCTTGTGTGTTTAAGATGGTCGAAAGCCCCAGTCCTTTCTGTCTGTCGCAGAGCTGGTGAAGCTGTGATCAACTGCAGCACTTGTCCTGCAGGCCTGTGGCTTTGAGCTAGGTGAGTTCCTGCTGCATGCTGCAGCATCAGCAAAAAGTCTTTTCGTTCTGGCAGGCTCCTTCAAAAACTATTTTTGCTCCACTGCCTAGAGCACCGTGTTTTGTGGCAGGAGCCAGGCTAGCGTGAGAGGAGGTGAGGAAGCAATGTGCTCCCATGGCCCAGGGTAAAAGAGAGGGCCCCTGTGGTCTGGTAAACGCACGCAGCCTCCTCCACGAGTTCAGAGCACGCACGGCTCTGCCATTCAATCCAGGCTAACAGTGTGCGACAGCCTGAGCCTCCCAGGTGCAAAGGGCTTCGGCACAGCCTGGCTAGTCACTTCCCTGCTTGGGATTTCACAGCTCCATTGAAGAGCCCGTCCTTTCTCCCTGGCACCTCGGAGATGTTCGCTTCACACAGTTCGTCACCGAGACCCTGCAGTAATTTCACACACTCCTCTAATAAAGTCCTCCGAGGCTGTCATGTATTTTCATGTATTTCCCCTATTATTTCTCCCTGCTTGAGCCTTTCAGATAATTGATGATACTTTAGTTAATCATTTTCCCCCTCCTTTGTTCGCCAGGTACCTCAGCCTTGAAGGGATCCTTTTCATTTAGAATCCGTGTCTTCTCTTAAGTAATTGATCACTGTGCACCCGGGGACACCCAGTTCACAGCCGAGTGGGATCAGCCTTCATGAATAATCAAAATGCCGTGGCCACACTGCTGGAGGAGTGCAAGCGAGCTCTGGACACACTCCTTTTGGCGAAGGCTGACACAGGCGAGGAAGATGAGCGAGAATACTGTCAGTGCCAAGGTGAGGACCCCCAGGAGAGGTGGCAGGACCACAGCAGCAACTGCTGGTCTTCAGCCCTGCCCTATTTTTCTTCTCCTGGCAGATGATTGTCAAGAGATGCCTGGATTTCGAGGCCATGAATGGGATGCAGGCTACAGGCAGGCAGAGAAAGAAGTCCACTTTGTTGCAGTGAATTGCTGTCAGTTCTAATTTTAGGCTTCAGTAAACATGAGGCTGTAAGGAACAGTTTAGTTTGGGAAGAACAATGCCCAAAAGTTTGCTGATGCACATAAATTTCAGTTATTAAAAAAAAAAGGAAAGAAAAAAAAGGATGCAACTTTTGAATAAGGGCACATATTTCCTCTCCTTTCATAGGAACTGGGGGAGGGCCTTTTCTGTTTGTCAGCTTCTCCTAATATATTAAAGAGCTCATTGCCTGAATCTTTATCTTGTAAAATGTGCGTGACCTCTATAAGTGGTGTCCAAAGAAAAAAAACTTGCAGTATCCCTCTTGAAAGGAAAATCCATGCCAGCTAATGGCTGGAATAAATAACTGGGAAAGGAGGCATTATTTAGTAAGAGCTGTAATAGAAGTGTTCTTCATTTGTTTTAATGCTGGCATTACCTGCTGGAAACCAGCATTTATTTTGTTATTGCCATGGTGCTTTGAGAATTGTTTGTAAAAAATTTAAAAAAAAAATTAATTCCAGTGGAAATCCAATTCATGTCAGATGTAAAAAGATGTAATGCATGGTTCAGTTTTCTCTAGGTTCAGACTTTCAGAGGGCTGCGTGACTTCATTACCACAGCTTATTTATCCATGAAATAAAAGCCGCATTCGAATTTCTGAATTTGTTTGAGTTACACCACTTTGGTACAGGGTAGGGAGGTTATGTACTCCTTTCTGCCACACAGAAAAATAACTTCAGCAAGTACAGAAGGATATAGTAAAGGAAGAAGGTGAAATTTTTTGGGAGGAAAAACAAAGCCATTAGCAAAAAATCACCAAAAAGCTCTTTATGTGGATCTTTTCCTTTGCATGACTCATCTGCAGTAATGTCCTTTTTCCAGTTTAGTGTTAATAATGTTTAGTTTTGCTTTGCATGAATGACTCGGCCGTAACGTTAATTTGATCTTTAAAATCCTTTGTTTGTCTCTGAGCACAGAGCCGTTGAGAATATGTTTTTCTGACCAACCCTGTTCTTGCTGGGAGGTCAGCTGCCTTTTTCTGAAGCACCTAAGTCTGTTTGAGGTGGAGAATGGCATATAGGTTTCTGTTATGGATACTGGAAGACTTTTCTCTTCTTTTTTTTTTGTTTTCAGCAAAGGGTACTTTGTTTCTTCATCGAAAAATTCTTTTAAGTTTTATTATGGCTCCTTAGAATAGGCTCTTGAACTCCTAATCAGGTAGCGCTTTTTTTCCCCCTCACGTTCCTCCCTCCTTTTCTCCTATTAAATACCACAGAGTATGAGAAATAATCAGTTTAGTTCCAGATAAGGTAAATCAGTGCCCTTATAATCACTTGATTAGACATGGTCCTTCAGGTAAACTGCTTCAGGAAATGGGCGATCAGCGCCTGAAGTGATGCTCGGTCTTTTCCGAGGACCGTGTTCCCATCAGCTGAAAGAAAAATACCCAGCAGCGGGGCGGTGACAGCAACATTAATAATTGCTGGGGCTCTCTGCCCAGCGAAGGCAGGGCCTCGCAGGTCAGCCAGCTCTCAGCTTTCGGGGGAACCTTCCTGCTAGAGGGAGTTGCTTTGCCCCCTTCTCCTCCCACAGCTGCCTTTGTTCACCCCAGCGTTCTCAGACCAGGCACAGGAGGAACTGAAAGCCATATACCTATAAATGGAGGGAAGAGGGGAGAGGAGGAGTGCACCCTCATCTCTCTTTAGTTGAGGGGGCAGGAGGGGTAGTAGGTGGGTATGGATTGCTTTTTCGTTTCTTTTAAGGCCAGAAATTGTTCCAATCAACTTCTGTGCCAGTTCAATGTCAATTTATGAATTTATATCGCCTGCAGTGAGAACAGTTATTGACGAGAACAGCTATCTGTGACACAAGTAAGCTCTCATCCTGTAAATTGGATTATAGCTGCAAGCTGCAGGACTGTTCACACAAGCTCCCCAACTGGTTGGTGTGGTTCTAGTGGATGTTCTTGTGATACAGCATCATTTTATTGTCATTAACACACTAATTGTGTTTATTTCTATGTGGTGACAACTAGATGTCACAGCAAGACTCTAAGCAGTATCCTGTTAGGCTCACACAAGTGTCCAACCCCAAAGATGACTAAAGGCTCCTAGATTGCCAAATCCTTCTGAAAATGTTAGCCTGATTTCCATTTCTAACCAGCTCTGCAGAGGTGACTGCTGAGGATGCCTCTTTAAAAATCAAAGTTCAATATTAAAGAATTTGGCCATATTCTTTGTTCTTTAGTGCATCATGTAAGAGGGGGATTAAGGTTTAATTAAGGATATCATAGAAAACAGGAACAAGAGGACAGCAGTAATGGCAGAGGATACCAGCTTCCACATTATCCCACTGATTATTTTCATAGTTGCTGACACTTATTCTTTCCTGTTTCAGTGCAGTTAAGTAAGCATGAGTTTGTGTTGGAAAGACAGAAGAAGGTAGAGAAGGAGATAGTAAAGCTGTCTGTGGTAAGCATCCTATTTCTCTAGATCCCTCCCCAAAAAGTCAAATGATAAAGTTCTTTGTCTGTCATTTTGCGTTCCTTGTGATGAGATGAGTATCCCTCCTCCTGCACTGATTTTGCAGTGAGAGATGTGAGGGTGGGAGCACGACCTCCTCTTCCCTCCAGCTCTGCCGCTTGACCCCCTTGCCACAGTGTGGAGGGCTGACCCCCTCCAAACACCAATTCAGAAGGGCTGCACCTGAACTGGGATGTGTAATGGGAAGCGTATCCAGAGCTACAGCAACAAGTGAGAAGATGCGGGTTGGAAAAAGTGGTATCTTTTTAAGGGTGACTTTTTGGAAAAAGGACCTTAAATATCTGGCTACCCGCTTTTTCCTAGGAAAAACATGCCAGTGGATGTGCTGTAATATGAGCATGAAATAGACTTTTTATGTAGTGAATTTTCTACAGTCATCCGTAAAGGACCGATTAAAAAAATATGTACTATATGTTTATTGCATCGCCTTATAAAAGCAATGATGGTCTCTGAGCAGGGTTTTTTTCTGGGGATTAATGGCCAGAAGGGGGTAGATCTGCAGCTGATGATCACTATTAACCCCATCTGGTCAATAATCCTTGTTAATCCACTTTTATTGGCCAGAGAGTCTGCCCAGCCGAGTGGTTAGCACAGCACAGCACGCTTGGGCTCCAGCTTCACCCTTGTTTGAAGGAAAATTAAAATGTGGACTGTAGCTGAAAGGAAAGGACAAATCCAAGCTTGGCTCTCTAACTGTGTGCTTCTACTAGCAATTGCATCCTTAGTTGTGTCAGGTTGGAGATCCAACCGAAGCCAATGGTTAAATGGGAGGTGAAAGGCCAACCTGTGGAGGGAGCAGGGGCAAACTAAACTCTTGCCTTGTGAGCTCTGGCACATCACTGGAGTATCAGGGGCCAGGCATGGGAGTTGGGAGTACTTTGCCCTCATCCAAAAGGAAAATCTTCCTTTTGACTTCTTTGTGCTTGGCCTTTGCAGCTGGGAGGGAAGCTGTGCTTTGAGTAGGTATTGGAAACCCTTGGGTGAAAGGTGTGAGGACTGGGGTTTCTGTGCGGCTCCATGTGCCTGGGTAGGAGCATGCCTGGACCAAGGGCATCGTGTCCTTTTAACTTCTGTTGCAATCTGCTTCAAAGGTGAGTCAGCTTGAAACAGGGTATGTCATAGCAAAGCTTCTGCTGGCATCTGCCATGCATCTGTGGGCGCTGCCATGTTAATCACATTTCTCAGGCATGTAGCTTAAAGCATTCTGCTTATATCTTGCTATAGCAGTGAGCTCTCTTATGCTGAGGGAAATTGTGTCCTGTAGTCTACAACTACTGCTTTGAGATCAGGTTGAGTAACTCAAGCCAACAACTTATTTTTTACTGAATTATCAGTCAAATAATTCTCAAGACTGTATGCTTGTTATTCCTTATATCCCTTTAGATCTTTGTCTAATTGCTTTATATGGTCCAGGTTTATCTCCCAGTTTGGATGCAGTTTTTCAAGCTGGCTCTGCCACTGTCACCAGCAAGCCCTGAGCAAGAGGGACAGTGTGTAGAGATTCAGTATGTGGCTTCCTTGGTCTTATGTATTTGTTTTGTTGACTCAGTTGTCTCCTGTCCCTTCTATGGGAAACTGCATTTCACCATTTATTCCACCCATTGTTGGTCGTGCGGTGTCGTTGCTGGGGTCAGTGGGATTGATGTTGATTATGTATAATCTGACTTGTTCGTACCCCCAGCGCTCACCCATGTACTGACCCTTTTGTATCAAATACAATTTGGTTATTGGTTCATCTTTATGCTGGATGTGTCCTTTATGCTAGGCCTGATAATTGGCAAAACAGACAGGTCTTCTGTGCTGTTGGCCCCATTTGCTCTGCCAGGGTCCTCTCCTTACAGGGGGGAACAGGTTTCCTCCTGTCTCTTAGAGTAGCTCTTCACACCCAGCCATCCACCAGTCAGTGTGACTTCCTGATAAAAGCCTTTTTAATGGCTGACAGCTCCCATTTACCTGGAGGGCAGAGCAGCCAAGGGTAACCGATAATGGTCAAGCTCATCTTCCCTCCCAATGAGGTTGGTGGCAAGAGCTAAGAGCTGGTAGCAACTGGGAGAAGGTCCGAGGGGGAGGGGAGGTATGCTTTTTACACGGTAGGTGCTCTGTTGTAAGTGTTGTGCCTGAACTCGCTGCAATATCTTTACCTGCTCTTTGACCTTTTCAGCTTTGCTTCCTGAGGACTTGAAAACCCTTCTGGAAGAGGCAAAGGAAATGAAGTGGCCCTTTGTGCCGGAGAAGTGGCAATACAAACAAGACCTTGGCCCAGAAGACAAAACAAACCTGCAAGATATGATCAGCGCAAGGCTTCCTGATTTGCTGGTATGAAGTTCAACACATCTGTTGTGTAAAATGTCCCACTGAGGGGTACACAGACCTTTGGTAGGTAGTATCACCTGTGGGTTCAGGGGCTTATTTTTCTGCATGGTGGCAGCAGCAGGTGAGGAACTGCTTGGCAAAGAGAGGTGAGTGAGTCTGCATTGGGATGGGACTGCTCACAGAGGCCAAAGGGCCAAAGTGGAGATGTGACTTTTATTTGTTTCAGTCCTCAGACAAGAGAGGGACCCAAGAACTACATACAGCTTCGATTTTTTTCATTAAAGATGCTTTAAAGCAACATGTGTGAATCACAGTTTCCTCCTCTTTGTGAGACAGCTCATCTGCATGTCATCACTGCATCTTCCAAGGGAAGGAAAGTCCTGCCCTCTGCTGCCACTGCAACCCAGCCAGGGTTGTGAGATCAGTGGGAGCTCTGCCTCGGCGTTAGGCTTCTGCTCTGCTGGCTATGTAGTTTGCAGCAGATGGATGTGCAACACCACAAAAGGCTGTTGGTTTGAGGTCTTGCTGGTACCTGCAGTTTTATGTGGTTTTTACTCGATGCAGAAAAGATAAAATGGATTCATAGGATAAAGTTTTGAGTGTGTCCAGGCATTTGACTGCTGCTGTGAAAAATAAAAAGTGCCTAGATAGTAATGATAAAAGACATTGCAGAGTGGAGGGCATTGTCACTGCCTTGTCTATAAGTGATCCTAGAGGTATATAGGGATTGTCCGTGCACTGAGCACCTTGCAGAACAACCACCTCATTCACTGAAGCATGCAGTGATGACTTGGACTGTATTTATGCTGTTTCTGCTCATTTTCATGCTCAGTCCATGCTAGTTTGGGCACGTGCTTTGTCCATTGGTTTCACAGGGCAGTTCTGTTTCTGTTTCCAGTAAGGTAATGTTTACCTCTTCCCTGAAGAACTGGTATTATAATAAAACTAAAATGCTGAATGTTTACATAAAGTTTAAAAATCCCCATGAATTTGAAAAGAATGCTGCACCTTGTTTAATTCAGCACTGCTAGGAGGTAATGAGGATTACTCACTTTAGTAGGGCTTGCACAATTCATCACCTGCTTCTCTTTTTTTCAAGAAAATTACTTGATAGGATTATTTTGAGGACCAAAGTTGGCCAAAACCTAGGCAGGAAAGGCAAGAATTTAATGTGACTTCTCCTGCGAGTAAAGGATACTTGGCTGTGTAAGGAGCTGCAGGATCCAAACGGTGCTTGGCGATCCCATCCTGTAAGGGAATGAGTTTGAGCTTAAAGATTAGAAAGCAGTGAGAAATTTAGGTTGCTTTTTGCTTTTCTGATTTTCTCAGAGGCATGTCAGATGTGACTTGTAGCAAATAGAGGACTCCCTTTTCAATGGTAAACATAATACCTAGGCTAATAAGTATCCCTTTGGCAGGATAGACATAAAATAAAGATGAGGTTTGTGAGGGTTTGGGAGTTTTTTTCCTTAATGTGGTGCATGTCTGAAGCCAACACAGTCCCATTTCTCATGGGAAGGCGCAGTCTGGCGTGAAAATCTGGGGTTTGGGGCAAGGAGGTCTGGTCCTGCTGAAATCCCAGCTGCAAAGCTGCTCTTAACTCCAAGGTGGCCAGGAGATTTCACCTGCTTCAGAGAGAGCCCTGCCCAAGTAAGCCCAGCAAGTTTTGTTTGAGAATGACGATTACTTTGAATAGCACTGAGCAATGAGAAGCTCAGAAGAGCCAACTGCAGGGCTGGGAGGTGTCAGCCCTGCATCCCCTCACCAGCATCCCACATTGCAGGGATCCTGAATTTGCTGGGGGGGCGGGGAGCGGCTGCTTCTTGGGTATTTATTTTCTTTTTCTCTTTGGTGTGTGTGGCCTTAGACAGAAATTTATGGCAGAGGTTGACCTCCTTTACAATCCCCACGCAGTGCTCTAACTTTGGAGCGTTTGTCTGATCTCTCCCAGGATAAACACCTGCAGTAAACTCCCTGAGAGACCTGGCTAGATGGGAGATTAATGTGGCTGTAATAGTGGAGCAGTGTTTGCAGCATTATGCCCTCTCCCCAGGTAGATGGATCTTTTCTGAGATGATACCAATTATTTATTGCTGAAACATCTGTTGATAACTGCAGCTGCCCTTGTTAAACAAAGCATATCATGGGGTCATAGACTATAGGGACCTAAAATCCTACCGCATGCTAGTTTTAGACTATTCACTGACACCCCCTGAAGTCCATTGGTTACTGTTGTCTTCAATGTTTCATCCTGTGGTTGAAAATACTTTGTAAACGTTGTGCTGCCTTTCCCCATGTGCTTTGAAGTATTATTTCATCTTCATCGGTAATTTATATTCCAGTGCCATTGTACCATGGGAAAAAGGGAAAACCTTTTTTGTTTTCCATTTAATTGTAGATAGACTGACATTTTGACCTGTATTATTAGTATTAGTCAGGAAAAGGGATTTTTTTCCCCTTCATCCATTCCTTCCCCCCCTTCTTTTTTTTCTTTTTTAATAAAATTTCAAGGCAGAGCAAAGGCTGCTTCAGTTCTTTGAATAAAAAGCTGGGGGGGAAATGAGGCTGAAGAGAAATGATTACAGTGTGATGAGGAAAGATAAAAGTCTGAGCAACTTTTTTCTTCTTTTTTTTTTTTTTTTTTTTTTGGCATGAGGGACAGAAGATTAATTTAATTCCCTGGAGGAAAAAAAATAAGTCTTTGTCGATTTATTGTTCAGAAAAACCTTTAAATTTTTTCATCTCTGTTTATTTTAATTTGCCATGCTTAGAATAAGCTCATAAACCGTAATTCATTACATTTAAAAAGTGCTTTGAGATCCATGAATGAAAGGCACTTCATTACCATAACACACTGGTGGTGTTACAAGCAGACAGAGCTGGCTACCAGGGCTCACCATGAGGATGTTTTACACTGTGAGTAGGCTGAAAAGCTCCATGAGACCCACACAGTGAGTAAGCGGATTAGGCTTTGGCTTCAAGAGTTTGCCTTAGTGTTGCACTTTAAAAAGTGGGATACCCATTGCTGGCGGCTGCATGCTACTCTGACACATCAAGAAGGCAAAGCCACCTGCACCTGCAGCCTTTTAGAGTGCTCTTCTTCAACTTTGCTGTGGGATGCTCATTACTTCTGCACACTGGCTAAAGCAGTAGGCATGGCAAAACTGGCTGGGGGGGACAGGGGATTGCAGCAAGCCAGGCTTTCCTTGGAGCTCTTTTGCTGCAGCCTCCGTTCAATGGGAACCATGCTGCTGTTGGAGCAGGGCTCAGGGCAGATTCTGGCAATATACGCAAACTTTCCTTTTTTTTTCCCCCCTCTGTCCACTACATGAAATTGCTGAACCTCCCTAGGGATTTTAAGGCAACAGATTTACTGTAATCCTTGAGGCAAACCAGCCCTCCTTTGCATCTTACAGAAGGTGGGGTGTTTTGAGTTTGGTTTGGTTTGTTGGTTTTTATTTCCTTGCTGGGGATTCACCAACCAATACAAAGGCCACCCCAGTTCAACAAGCTCAAGATACTGTTTTGCACATTTTTCTAGCAGGTTCTAAGAGAGCCTCCCTGTCAGCTGCCATCGGTTAGCAATCCAAGCCCATCCTTCAGCCCTCATCTCAGCCTGAATGCCCCTTTAGTGGGAGTCTGCACTAAGGCTTGAATGGCAATAACCAACATCAGTATCCAAAGTAAAAACTGGGAAGCACTGGGATTTTTGTTTTTAACAAACCAAAGCAAAATCAGAATGGTAACAGCATCGATCCTTGCTGACAAGAATAAATAAGGAGGGATTACTTTTTCTCTCTAAATATTATACCATATGCGCTGCAGAGCTCGGACTGGGGCTGCAGACCCAAAAGGGCGGCTTCCAGGGGTTACCCTTCCTGCAGATCTTTGCTATTCCAAGGGATGGAAATAGCCTCATGCTCAGTGACCAGCCAATAGAGGGCAACATGCCCATGTACACGTAGGCTTTGATCCCACAAACCCTGTTGTGGGTTTCACTGAAGGACAACTCAATGCACAGAAGTATTTCTCCTGTGGGATGCTTCATGGCACATTAATATTTTAATTATTTTTTTGAAAGATCAAAGTCCGTTTGAAAACCCACTGTAATGATGTGGGGGTTGTCTTCATTTTTATCATATGTACCAACAGTTCCTGCATCCAGGCTCAGGCATTCATCCATGACCAGGACCTTCTGGGATAGGTACAGTGTGAATACAAAAGGAAAAGCCCCCAAGAGTAGGGCTCCTGCACGTCCCTCTGCACCTGCTGTAGGGAGCTGTGCAGGCTGACCCTTGCTCCATGCTGTGGATAGGGGAGTGTGGATCCTGGCACAGAATCTCATGGGACTTAATGGGAATATTGAAAAGAGAAGAAAATAAGGCTCTGCAGTCCTTGCCTGGGCCTTGGCTAATTACGTGCTGATGGATTGCCATTAGGGAAACCATTCTGAGGGACATGCCCTAACTACCCTTAGGTGTGTGTGTGTGGCACTTAAGAGCTGGTGGCCTTTGAAAAAGAACTAAAGAGGGGGCTGAGGATTTAGTTTTCTCCTCCTTCCAACTGTTGGTGTGGTAACAGGAGAATTAAAGCCCTAAAACGTAGCCCTGGGATCTTGGTTGTTCAGGCTGACCTTTTGCTACCTGCCTCATAAGAACTCTTCTTGGGTGATCCCAGTGAAATGGAGAGTGATGTAAGTGAGAATTCAGCCTAAGAGGGAATCTGTGGCACCCCAGCCTCCCTTATGCTGTCACTGACACTTAGCTATTTTTAAGTATTAAAATATCCCCTTCAACATAGTATTTTAATGTACCACGGGGAATCACCACAATAGTTTATAAATAGTCTAGAGCTTGAGCACAGCAGGACAAATCAGGGCCACAAAATGATTGTTGCACCTATCCTTGTTAATAATTAAGAACAGGTACTCCTGCAGATGATTGTGGTCCCCCAAGCCCCTGCTGCCTTGTCAGATACATGAGGCCCCCAGGAACTCACCCTTGAGGAGCTTCCTCAGCACTTTAAAGGGGTTCTGCTTCTGTCCTCACCCCAAAATGCTGCTGTACAGTACCCTGAGCTGCCTGTTGCTTTCATCCCTCCTGAGACCACTCAAGTTCATCACGCAGATGGTTCTTCCACTTTCTCCCACGGGTAGGTGCACTCTCTTCATTACGGCTACCCTGTGCTGTGAGCTGCATGCCAGCAGCAGCTTGGTCAGGGATGGTGCCTTCTCTACATTGTGTTGATGGAATGTGGGAAGCCCTTTCTATCCTGCAAGGGATGGAGCTGGTCCTGCCAGCGGGACTCTCCAGGCACTGCTCTGCTGGAGCTCTGCATCCTGCAAACAGCAATGACTCTCAACTAGAGAGTGGAAACAGAGAGTAGCATGTGGAACATCCCAATAGCAGTAAAATGAAATCAGGGGCCAGTTAAACTGCAAAAAAGGGGGGCTCTTGAGAAAAGCAGGAGTTACTCTCCCTCTCATTCTTTCTTAGTTGGTAAAGCAAGATGTGGTCAGTTGTAAAAAAATGACCCATTCTGTGGTGTTTTGAGCTGCTAATTATGGATCTAAAGCTGCTCCCACTGAATAACACCCAACTCTCCATTGGCTTCAGGATGAATAACCTGAGCTAATTAACAGTTTCAGAAGCTCAAGCCATTAAACGGGATTCTCCTCTGCCCTGAGCAGAGGAAAGTGTCCAGGAGCTGCTTATTCCTCAGTCTGCAGCTATTTACTCTGTGACGACTGTCCTGTGTTTTGAGTGTATCCGTCTGCACCTCATGGACATGCTTTCTTCTGCCCATCACAGAGGTGATAGGAAGCTTAATTCCTTGTTATTTGTCTAGTGGGCTCTGATTGCCAGTTGAAAGGCAGAGACTGATAGAGAAGTCCTGTGCGGTGACAGCAGCTTTGGTCTCTTGGAAAGACAGGCTTTGCTAACAGTGTGTGGGGTAAAAGGGTGAAAGACTCCAGCCAAATCCATTGGTGTTGTGACTCTGTGTTTAATCTGACAGGGGACAAATGTAGAGGGAAAGAAAACCGGGCAATTTGTTAGGGTTCAGTGAAGTGCTAACTAGGAACAGCTCTTGGGAGAGAACTGAAGCACCTGGAAGTACATGCCACTGAAACTCCTGCCCTGTGCACAGGATTAGAAATTCTTTGTTGTCTGCTCTTAGTTTTGGGGGTGTTTTTTAAAGTTTTTAAACTGCAACTGCAGTTACAAAAGAAACAAAGACTGAAGCAGTCTGAGAGGAATGGTTATAAGCAAACACAGAAATCCAGAGTGTCTGCAAAACTGTGGGTACACTCTGCAAATGAAATGATTCCTGTCCCTGCTTTCTAACCTCTCTGCTTGCAGCGGCATTTTTCCAAAGGGGACCCTCCTGAGCCTGCAAGCTGGGGAGGGGGGGTTGCCTTCAGGATCTTTGCTTTATAAAGAGGGCAGAGAGAGTGGATTAAATCAATATTTCATTTATTTGGGCTTGTAATTCTTCTTACATCAGCTGCCACATAAAGATTTTCCCCTATTTTCTTCCCCTCCTCGTCGTCCTCATTTACTATGCACCAATAATTTCCCTTTGACGCTTTCCTGCCAGTCCTAGTGCCAGATGGCCCTGGTTCTGAGCTTCTCCCCTCTCTTGGGAGCAGCCCCCATTGTCAATGCAAAGGAGGCGTTGTGGCTTTGAACCCAAAGCTGGGACCCAAACTTCAGCCCCGGCATGAGGAGGAGCTAACCCACTAATGCAGGAAACCATGCAAACAGCACACCCTCCCACTCATTGCCATTAAGGAAAAAAACCCTTCACTAAAGGCTGTTTTGCATTTTCCCCAATGGTCCATGTATAGAAATCTGGTGCAAATTTAATTCTCTCACCACCTGATTCCACTTCCCAGCCGTGAGGTTCCCTTTGTGTCATAAACTCAATTAGACATATGCATTTCACATCGTGGACACAGATGTGAAAACAAAGTGTGCACGTACCCCTCTCCCCCTCTCCCCCTCCT